ACATATTTGGGAAACGCTGCCATTTTGAGTCAATAGATAAGGTCACAGGACTTGGGAGAGAAAAGGTGAAAGAAAGAGTGGAGTAAGTCCAGTGAGGAAGGAAAGAGATCTGTGCTAGGATTAAGGTCCTGGGAATTTGAACACAATCTGAGGCTATGCAGAAGAACACAGCAAAGGAGACTCTAAGGATGCAGTCAGCAAACCACAAAGAAACAAAAATGGTAGAAGTTATACTGTAGAAAACACACATGGCAAGGCCTAGGAATAAATCACACCTCAGCAAGCTATGCAAATCATAAACAGCACAGAGCCACACAATCAGATATACACCTCTCAAAAAGAAGAATCAATGAGATGTGCAGAGCAGAAACAGAAAGGGGAGATGAGGCATGGAGATGGTGATTCCCTCAAAACTTTCTCTGAATGCTTCTCATATAAAGTGATTTTACAAAAAAACAGCAAGACTTGTTGGTCAAAAAAATTCATCCACTACAAGGGAGGACCTAACTTCTCAGGCACGTTAACAGTCTGCTGTATCATTGTGAGCATGTACGCACAGCTGCATTTCCAAAAAAGCACTATTTCAGGGCTGGGGGTATGGCACGGGGCTAAAGTGTTCATCTATCATGCCCCAGGCCCTGGGTTCAATCCCCAGCACAGAAAAAAAAAAATCATTAAAAGAAACTCTTTGTTTCCAATTTGCTTTGCATACTCAACTTGAATATTTCTTGAGGCACAGATGTCCTAGCAGATGTGTGGGTCTGGCATGTCATCAGCACATGTGTTACAGGACAAGCCAGGGTCACAGATAAGATCCTGAGGTATGAGAGAGAACACTGCAAACTATCAACGTGAGGTGCAGGCAGAAAGGGACCCATGAAGTCAACTTATTAATTTTGCTTAATTTTTTTAACAGACAGTACACTACTGAATCCTGACCACATTTGGGTAGGGAGGGTAGTGCTGGAGCAAAAGGCCAAATCATGAAGCAGACAAATCTGAAGATAGAAGCTTAAAAAAAAAAGAACAATGTACAGACTGGAGAGAAGGCTCAGCAGTTAAGGGCACTGGCTGTTCCTGCAGAGGACCCAGGTTTGGTCCCCAGCACCCATATGGTGGCTAACAACTGGCTGTGACTCCAGTTTCAGGAGATCTAACATCCTCTTCTAACCTCTGTGGTCACTGCATGACATGGATGCACTCACATACCTGTAGGCAGTCTACTCACATAAAATAAAATAAAAATAATAAATAAAATGTTTCTTTTTTAATCAATGCAGGGGTCTGAAGAGATGGTTCAGCAGTTAAAAGCATGACTACTCTTGCTGAAGACCTGGGTTCAGTTCCCAGCACCCACAACCCAGCTAACAACCATCTACAATTCCAGGTCCCAGGGATTCAATTCCCTCTTCTGACCTCTGTGGGCATTGCATGACATGTGTGCATTTACTTTTATGTAGGCAATACACTCATACCCATAAAATAAAAACAATAAATAATTTTTTTTAAATCTGGGGCTAGAGAGGTGATTCAGCAAGAGCACTGGCTGCTCTTGCAGAAGACCTGGGTTTGAATCCCAATACCCACATGGCAGCTAACAACCATCCGTAGCTTCAATTCCAAGGAATCCAATGCCCTCTTCTGGCCTCCATGGGCACTGCATGACATGGATGCACTTACATACATGCAGGCAATATGCTCATACACATAAAATAAAAATAAATCAAAAAAATTAAATCAATACAATATAATTTATTAATTTAGAATATCTGTGACTCATGGCTTACAAACATGACATTTATAAGAAGGCAGGGAACTGTCCTGAAGAATCTTCTTGCTTAAAATGAGCAGAATCAATAAAAACTATATAACACATGAGAAAAAAAAAAACTATTTGTAAGAGCCAATATAATAGTATCAGTAACATAAATCCAGTCTCAAGTAAACTCACTTAAAACAGTAATCAGTCAATAAGAAAAAGGTAAAAGCCATTTCTACCTTTTAAAGTTGATGCAAAATTCTGTACCATAAAAAGCCACTTGAAAGAATAAAAGATAGTGGAGGTAGAAAGTTTAACACTTGGTTCTGGATCTACACACTCTGTGGTTGACCTGAGAGCTAGAACAGTTTAAAAATATAAAGAGACTTAAGGTATAGGACTAAGAGAATTCACAAATGACTGACGAACAACAGCCAGCCCTTATTTGTTCCATGATCTCACTACAGATGAAAACCAAACCCTAAACTCACATTTGGCTTCACTGTCAAGAACAAAATATAGGGCTGAGTGAAACACTGACATGATGAGCTGGTATTAAAAAGGTGAAGGAGAGCAGCAGGAAACACAGCCATGCCCTGACTACTCTGCTAAGGATTTTTCTCTGTGTTTGGGATTTGCTCAAAGCAACATTAAGATCTAATCGAAATTCTTTTAAATGCACTATAATGGGATAAAAGTTTTAAAACAGTGACTTAAAAGAAGAAAAAAATAAAAGAAAACGAAAAAGGAGTTCAATTTTGCTGGAATGTTAGGCCAGTATAAAACTCACATTTGAAAGCATCAGGTTTGAGTCATAAAATGCCTGCTGCGCAAGCATGAGGACTTTAGTTCATGAAAGCAGCCAACATGGTAGCATTTGTGTGTAATCCTGGTGCTGGACATGCAGAGGCAGGTGGATCTCGGGAGTGGCTAGCCAGCCAACCTAGCCTATTATACATGCTCCAGGAGGGTGAGAGATCCTATCTCAAAAGACAAAGTAGACGACTCACGAGGACACCGTACCCAAGGCTGGTCTCTGGCCTCAAGTATACATCACACACACCACACACACACACACACACACACACACACACACACACACACACACACACACACGAAGAAGGAAGGAGGAAGGCAGGAAGAAGAAAAAGAGAGCAAGTGAGAATCTGAGATGGCAAAATTGTTTACTGGGTAAAGGTGTTTGTTGTCAAGCCTGATGACCTGAGTTTGATGTGACACACGTGTGCCTACACATGTACACAATAAACAAATGTAAAAAACTAATAATTTTTTAAAAAGCAAGCATCTGTTTTCAACAAGTGGAACATCTCTCAGCCTTTCCAAAAAAGGAGGATCCCAAAGGACACAGAATTTCCCCCAAAGAGCAGAAAAGATGGTCTACTGACTTAATTTCAAATTAATCCTGGTTACACACACAAAGACAAAACAAAATTAGAAATAAAAATGTTTCAGTTACAAAAAGAAGTCTGCTAGCAAGTCTGATTCTGTCAAGTACTCAACCAAGCAAATGCCATACTAAGCACCTGGCCTGGCAGGTCTTTCCACCAGCCAAAGGCTGTGCCCTTACATCTTTGTCCACGGAATGACAGCACAAAGCCACCTCCTCTCCTTTACAAGACTGTTCTGATACAGTGGAATGTGAAATTAAAGGAGAGACCCATTTTCAGGATTTCTTCTTTGCCCTGTAAATTTCCCATGTCTTAAGGACATTAGAATGACCCAGTAACCTGAAGCGACCTGGTAATCACTAACAGTGTCTTAGAGTTTAATATCAGTATGACTGAAGATGGGGACTACTAGCTAATTCTCAGGTAGAATGGAACTAATGATAGCATCTACATAGTGAGGCTGTAGTGAGGTTTAAAAGAGGCAGTGCAAAGGCTAGAGAGATGGCTCAGTCACTTAAGAGTGTTTGCTGCCCTTGCAGAGGACTGGAATTCAGTTCATGGCACATAATACGGTAGCTCAGAACCAGCTCCAGGGGATTCAATACCCTCTTCTGGCCTCCAAGGGCACCTGCACCCACATGTGCACATACACAGGCTCACGCACGCATAAAATAAATACAAAGTTTTAAAAGTTATAAAAAACACATAAAGCCCCTCACCAAGTACCTATTAAAAGAGCTCAAAATGCTAGTTAGGATTACTGTTTCATTCCTTACAGCAATCTTGTGAGGAGGAATGTGACAATTTCAAAGATGAGAACTCTGAGTCTTCATGGTACCAACTCACTTAGCAGACACGGCTGAGACTCAGCTCTATTCTTCACTACCCCACACTCTGTCACAGTCACACAGTCAATGGTTCAGGACAATGGCTGCACCTGCTCTGTCTCTAGAGTCATTGCTGGCTTTAGAGCTGGCCATTGCTGCTACTGATAGCAAGCAAATTTTTGAGATTTTCAGGACGCGTTTCTTCATTTTGAGGACCCACGCAGAGGGATTTTGAGGATGAAATGTTGGCATCCACTCAGTAAACATCTAACTGGACACCTGCCAAGGCAAGCACTCTTCTAAAGTAGGAGCTCCCACATTCACTTGTGTTATCAGTCATCTGAGAGCTTTCAGAGTTCCAACTCCCAGCCACAACACAGACCAATTTAATCATAATCTTTGGAGTTAGACTGAAGATCCTGGAGTACTCCTGAGGTACTGTACAGACACACTCGGATGCTACTACTAGAGGTACTAGACTCAAGCTTCCTAAAAGGACCTTCACACCTACTAACTACTTTCAGAAATGTCTCACAGCTTTTGGATTTCACAGCTCAGGCCTTCAGCATTTCTCTGTGAACTTGACAGCTTCACCATCACTGCCACACAATGCCCTCTTACATGCCACCTCTGATCACATCAATTCCCTCCAGCTACCAGCTTGTGAGCCTCTCCTTCAAAGCCCTCCACAGAAGGCACCAACACTGTCTCTCCCTTCTCCCTCTACTCCTTTATAATGCTAGCACCAAAATGACTAGAGATCCCTGGTCCTGGACAATGCCCATAGCTTCCAACCTGCAACCAGGCTTGCTCTTGAAAGAGAGGGGGTAAAAATCTATATACAATTAGACAGTCTACTGACAGTTACAAAATAAAATTCTCTCCTGTTTAAAACTGTGTTATTATAAGTCATGAAAACCTTGGTTTATAAAAAGCTAACATAATTTTAATTTCAGAATTTTATAATCACAACTTAAACACAACAAAAAAAAGAACTACGTTTACCTTAATTTAAGTAAGGGCTGGGTCACCCACTTCTTTAACTTTCGCCTCCCAAATGAAGTTTTAGTATGATCCAAAACCCAAAACAAACTTCCTTTGGTCTTCATATCAGTCTGAAAAAGATCAGAGAACTAGTTTTATTAATGAGACAATTATATGTTACATATTATTATATTTATATTATTGTTCACGTACCCTAATTATTCCATTTATCCTAACTTTTTCTCAGTGCTAGTGATTGAACTCACAGTATTTAGCATAGTAGGCAAATGCTCTACCACTAAGCTACATCCCCATCCCTCCTGATTTTAAATGTCGTTCATGCCCAGCATAATGTATGCCTCATAAAGAGGTGTTCATTTAATGACTGATGAAAGTAAACATTCACATGAGATAAAGATGGATAAACTTTGATGAGCACAAAAGAGATATTCTATAGTTTGGGGCTGGCTGTGATTAAACTACTCTGAAGCCTCTATGGAAAGGGAGGCAACAGCTGCAGAGGTATGCAGAGGATGTCCATTCCCAGCCTATCTCCACAAGATCCCACATCCTGATCTGGAAGGGACTGCAAAGCGTAGTTTGATTATAGTGACTTTTGCCTGCATTTGAACTGCATTTTATATCTGACTAGAGCAGAACCTGACTGAGATGTGGCAGAAACAAGGGAAGGTGGACGTGCACTGTGTCTGCTGAAACTCCCCCAACCAAGGAGCATGATTTCATCCCTGCTGCTTGTCTGTTGTCAAGGGCATGTGTATAGAGCTGGAGAGAGATCTGTAGGATGGTTCACTACCTCTCCACTGTGGAGGGCAAGATGAAAATACTGCTGAACAAAAATGGCTGGACTATGTTGGGACAGAAGATAAAGAAATGAGATGATATGGAATCAAGACAATAAATTCAATATTCATTTTGTAACACTGATTTGCATTTGTGATGAACTTTAAAGGCATTTCAGTCAGGTGATTCAAGTCTCCACTAAATCAAAAGACTTCGGAACTGGTGTGTTTTATCTGGAATTAAGTTTTGTTTCATTATGATTTTGTTACGACATTAATTTTACAATATATTTATTTTTCCTAATGACACTTTAAACATGATGCCAGGCGTGGTGGCGCACACCTTTAGTCCCAGCACTCAGGAGGCAGAGGCAGGCAGAGTTCTGTGAGTTCAAGGCCAGCCTGGTCTACATAATGAGCTCCAGGCCAGCTGGGGCTACAGGGAGACCCTTGTCTCAAAAAGACAAAAAAGAAAAAAGAAAAAGAAAAGAAAGTGAGAAAGTGATAATCATAATGTTTCTATTATCATCTAATTTATTGATAAAGGGAAAGTAATATTGGTAAAGGGAAAGTAATATTGGTAAAGGGAAAGTAATAAAGCTTGTAAAATGAGAAACAATGTATCTTACAGTCAAATTGAGCATCATAGTAACTTGTTTTATATGCCAAATAATGAGACATGACTGCAAACATTTAACAAGAAGTTACAGGTATGTCACAAAAAAAATTTTACATTAGTTTTCAACGAGAACACCTTTTGAGGCATTGGTAAGCATAGCTACCATCCAAAGATAACACCTTCTGTGGCTAGAGATATGGCTTAGTGGTTAAGACGGCATATTGCTCTTGCAGAGAACCTAACTTCACTTTCCAGCACCCATGTTGGAGGAGGGATCCAATGCCCTCTTTTGGAATCCATGAGTACCTGGATTCATGCATGCATATACCAACACACAGACAAAACACACACACATAATTAAAAATAATAAAATAAACCTTTTTAAAAAGATAAAATATCTACTATAGAAATGGTAGGATGGTATGTCCTCCAATTATTAAAAAGGGAAGTCCTAAAATCCCCCCTGCAGAAAAGAAAAAACAAACAATATTTCATCGACATGATTTTCCAAAAAGTGAGTGCTACACGTAACAATACCTAGATGGCAGGTGGACAGGCATCTAAGAAACAGTGGAAAGCACTGTACTCCCAAGAATAGCATGCTACCTACTCTAGTTATTTATTTCAAATCATTCTGAATCAATAAGTCTTTATGTTGTGACCTGATTCTGTAGGATTTCCAGATTCCTTAAGGTTCTTCCATTAATTCTCATAAATTCCATTTCACTTGACAGCTGTTTAAAATTCCTGTAAAAGATGAAGTACAATAAGCCTGCATATAAGCACACAAGTTAAAAAAAAAAAAAAAAAAAAAAAAAAACTTAGGGACTATAAACAGTCCAGTAATGCTATGACAAAGTTAGCATTTTGATAGGTGATCAACCCAAAGAGAGCAAGGTGAGAAATCGTGGGACACTGTCTTCCACTGCTGCTGCTGCTGAGCAGACTGGGGCAGGAGGGCAGCTGCTCAGACATCAAGGGCAAGAACATGGAATGGAAGAGAAGGAGCAATGTTCGGGTTTTGTTTACATCCCCAGGAACAGAACCAAACAATCTTTTATTACTGGCAGAGCATGTGGCAGCATGTTCAAGAAAAGCTATGCAATTAAGCTACAAAAATATGTCAAGACACTTGAGACCATCCAGCTTTTTCTCTAACATGAGACCATAGTGATAAAAACTGTAAAAGCTTTTACCCAACATTCTGATGTGTGCAACAAACATCATTTTCTCTCTAACAGTACACATTAAAGTGGTCAATGTTTAGTGGGTATAAAACAGAGTAGCAAAAGTTATTTTTTTAAGCTCGGTTAAAGAATATTCACACTCCTGTGTTCCTGCAACTACCAAAACATTCAATCAATTTCAATTATCCTTGACAAACTAAATAACATATGCACAATTCCAAGTCACACAAAGAAATACTAATCAATGCATTACTAATATACTAACTCAATTTCCCTCATCAGCCAATCCAAGTGCTTTTTCTGTCAATACCATTGAACAGAATTGGTGGTTTGCTTGCTAGCTAGTTCATTTATTGGTATAGATAGAGTCTCATAATATAGCCCAAGCTAGACTCAGTATGGTGGGCCTCCTGCCTCTGCCTTCCAAGTACTTTGATTACAAACGTACCACCATGCCCTGCCACTGACACATTTTCTACCCCTTTTCCTTCTTTTAAAGACAGCATGTCACTGTGCAGCCCTGGCTAAAGACAGGGTCTCATTATGCTGCCCTGGCTGGCCTGGAACTTGCAATACAGACCAGACTAATCTTGAACATAAGAGATCTGCCTATCTCTGCCTCCCAAGTTCTGGGATTTAAAATGCATGACACCACATCTGGCTAGACAGCTTATTTTTAAGAGAAGAGAAGTAATCCTAGGTCATTAAACTGTGTGGAAGGAAAGCATTAGTGTTTATACCATCAACCCAACAGCACTTTGGCTACAAAGAGGCTTAAGTAAAACTCTAACTTCTCAAGCCATCTGTAGAAACAAGTCCTCACTGGAAGGTAAAATCAGAGCCCAAAGTAGCAGTGCCCACCAGACCTCTTTACTTCTAGAAGATTCCATCAATCAAGGCAAGAGCCCTAGAAAGACAAATAACATATCACATACTGAGAACGTTGCCTAGTAACGGAACACGGTCCACTGGTGGTACAATTTACCTGTGATAGGTCTGCTCTACCCTCCAAAGGATGGTAACCTGTTAATGATTCTCAGAGGGCAACAACTCTAAAACTCATTGATAGCAGACATGTGTGTCCCTTCCTCTCCCTCTTATTGAAGTGATTTTCTTCAGTTACAGAAATGTATGTTCTAACTCTACCCTCCTTAATAGACCTAAGCTCCTTGATGGCAAGGATTACCGATTTATGCCCCATTCATCTCTGTCTGCAGACTATAGCAGAACACAGAGGCTAAACGAATGTCCACCTCCGTCCAAAGGGAAAGCCAGTTTGGGTTTGTTTCCCCTTGAGTCATAAAGCCCCCCAAAAATCTGTGAAACACCCAGGTAGTTATAAAATACAAACCATTATTTACAGGAAGAAGCAATTAGGCAGTGATTGGTTATTGCGGGGGCCTGAGGCCAGGGGCGAGGAAGATGGCGCCTAGAGGAAATGGCCGGGGCATGACCAGACTTGTTTGGCGCCTAGAGGAAACGGCCAGGGCATGACCAGACTTGTTTGGCGCCTAGAGGAAATGGCTGGGGCATGAACAGACTTCTTTGGAAGAATCGCTGGTTGGCTCCCACCATCCTGGCAGCACATGATCACCTCGTGAACGCTATGCTTTGCAATGAAGAAGGGACTACATGCTCAAGCTGACCTTTAAAATGATTGGATGCTTTGCCGGGGAGTGGTTTCCCGCTTATGGTTTTTGCCTTTATAAGATCTGTGATGCCTGCAATAAACGATTTCCTGCTTGACTGGCTCCCTGTTGCGTCTGTCTGTCTTCCAGGGAGGCAGCGGGTAATGGGCGGACAGCTCACCTCCCTATTCCCGGTTCCTGTGTCGGGGCAGGACCCCCGACACCTGGCGCCCAATGTGGGGCCCGAAGACCACTTGAACCCATTGGGGGAGCTGAACGCCGGGGCTACTTGGGTGAGTATCGAGAGAGGTGAGATCCCAAGAGATGGGTAACGCAATGAGCAAGAGTGAGGACCCGGCACTCACGGCGCTGAGACACGTTGAGATCCAGGGGGTTAGAACAGTCTGATTCCTCGTCAAAGAAGGTCTGGGAGGCCACCCTACATCTCATTCCCTGGTTGCCTGCAAGCAATTTATTACAGTGGGCTACCTGGGACTGGCTTGAACAACTGGCTTGCAAGGCAGAGATCAATAGAGGGGAGGAACCACCCTTGGGGTTTTACCCCACTATCTCAGCCCTTAAGTCATGTTTTCAACCCAATCTGACCCCCGGGTATACCGGCCTTTGCCAGGTGGATAAGACTGCAGGGGAAGATCAACAGGTCATGTTTGATGAGGAGAGAGTCCAACGATTGAAAGTGAAACCAAAGTGCATACTATGGAGAGATCTGGAAAGGGGGGGGTGATGAGAATGGGGGAGAAAAAGGGGGGAACCCTGGGCAGTTGGGATGAACATGAGGGAGCAGAGCCCTCCACTCCTATGGGACTGGTCCAGACTTTCCCCGTAAACATCAACCCCAGACCCCAGCGTCTGGCTGCCTAGCACCCATAGGAGGCTAAAGATCTTAAAGAAGGTGGTGTCCAAGGATGGCCCCGGGTCCCCCTGGGTCGACACCCTTCTCCAGGGCTTGGTATATCAATCCTCTACGGCCAAAGACTGGATGGATCTAGCCAAGGCAGTCCTCCCCAGCCCCTTGTTCATTAAATGGGTGGCACTATACCAAGAGGAATGTCGGGTCCAGGCAGAAAATAACTGTGCCGCCAACCCCCCGTCCCTATCACTTTCAGCATGCTGACAGGGACCATGGACGCCTTTGTCACGGGTGCCCAGCAGGCAGTAGTTCCGCCACTGTATATGGAACAGGTCAGGGCCCTTGGCCTCAAGGCCTGGCATAGGTTGGATATGGGCCCTATGGAGCCACCCATATCAGGGATCCATCAAAGCTCAGGGGAGCCATTACATGAGTTTGTAGATAGGGTTGAAAAGAGTCTAAGGAGAAAGTTTCCCTCTGGGCCGCTCAGAGAACAGTTCATAAAAATGCTAGTATGGGACAGTATGAACGCCGACCATAAGGTCGCCTGTGTGGGGTTAAAGGACCATTCCATGAGCAGCTGGATCGTGGCTTCAAAGGACATAGGGACCAAAACAAAGATGACCGAGGCTATGGCCGCCGTCCTCAGGACACAGAGGCTCTAGCTACAGCCTTTAGAGAAGCCCTCACAGGCCTTGGGCCACAGGATAGGCACCCCAGGCTGAGAACAGGAGATGTTTTGGGAGCGGCCAGACTGGGCACCTAAAGAGAGACTGCCCACAAGGGAAAGCCCCTCTCAAGGTGGAGGGGGACAAGCCCAGGGCTCCATGCCCACGCTGCTGCAAGGGGTTTCATTGGAAAAAGGACTGCCGGTCCAGGTATGATGTGGAGGGCAAACCTTTAAACTAGGTTTGGGACAACCCCCAGCCCCATCACCAAAAGGGGGAGGGCGCACAGGCCCTGGAGGGCCCACCACCCACTGGATGGTCCATATCATCCCAGGGCTTCGCCCTAAGATAGACATCTTGATGGGCAGAGGTTCCGGGGCATTATTGACACCGGGGAAGATAGGACCATCCTGAGGAAGGAAGAAGTCCCCAGAAGGTGGCCCCTCGAGCCTGGACCACAGGTGATGGGTGTCAGTGGCACTGTGCCATCATGGGAGCTTAGGAACTGGCTCTGCTGGCAAGACTCAGATGGTACTAAGGGAGAGATCAGACCTTTGGTGGCTGAGGGGCTTTCCTACAACCTCTTCGGGAGAGACCTCCTGGGGGGGGCGGCGGATGTTTTTGTGACCACAGACAATAGGGAGTTTATCAAAGGGCTGCTCTATGATGAGGAAATGAACAGGGTTAGACACCCCCTTGACCGCCTCTCAAACTACAGGGGGGAGGGGTCCGAGTCTCCCCAGGTCCACCCCAAATCCTAGAGGCCGCTGTTCCTCAAGTTCCTGCAATCTGATAGTCCCCAGGGAGCCCGGTTTGGGTGGAACAGTGGCCCTTACCTGAGACAAAGCTCCAGGCTTTGAGGCATATTATACAGGAACAACTTATGCTGAGGCATATCCGCCCCTCCATAAGCCCTTGGAACACCCTTGTTTTTATCATAAAAAAGTCATCTGGCCAATGGAGGATGCTACAGGACCTCCGCAAGGCAATCCCAGAATTACCTTGGGGGGAGTCCCCTTGAGGGGACTGCCCTGGATACCCGCTACCCCGTCAGATCTATTTCTCATAGTTATAGATATCAAAGACTGCTTTTTCTCTATCCACCTACAACCCCAAGATTGCGAGAAGTTCGCCTTCTCTGTGCCTTCCATCAACTTTAGCACACCTGATGAAAGGTACGAATGGACAGTCTTGCCCCAAGGCATGGCCAATAGCCCAGCTTTCCGTCAGAGCTTCTTAAGGGCTCTCTTGAGCCCAACAGAGTCTTTGCCACATGCTACTGTATATGCCTACATAGATGATATAATTTTGGGGGCACCAAATCTCCACCAATTGCAGGAATTATGAGGTCACCCAAAAATACCTCCAGGCGGGAGGGCTTCAAGTGTCCATG